AGCTTAGTTCCTGAGACAATATTTCTTCAGAAACAATCTAACATCATAGCTATTTAAAGGCCTTATTTACATGACTGCCTCATTATACTGGTCCCCTTTCCTTAACATTCTTTTTGACTTACTTAAGGATCAATGCTAACATAGCTGAAGAAGGCAAATGGCAACTTGTCCTGAAATTTATATGAGTGAGAGAATTGGAATAAGTAGCAATATAATATATTGTTTACTATAGCAAGTGCCCTCTGTTCTCTAAAGGTCAAAAGCATTGTAACCTTAGAGTTACAGTTTCTGATTGTTCCCAGGGTTAAATACATTATCAAAATTAATGGTTCAAGCCCCTCAACCTTCAGATATATGAGTATTCATGCCTCCATCTGCTGAACTGTTCAACTAAAAATAGCATTCTTTGGCATTCTCTCTCCTAATATTATGCCCCTGAGGCAGAGAAAACCACGCCTTAGATCAGCACAGTAGTATATAAAAAAATTGGTCTTTCCTGTGTCTCCCTTATTTTAAAGAAAGAAATAACAGGGGTATGCTAATGTAAGGAGGGGCTTTCCATTTTTAATACCTCTTCTCTACTTGATAACAAAATTTCAGAGTATAACTATAAATGCTGTTAAGATTTACCCAGGCTCATTAAATTTATAAATGACAACCTTAGAAGGGCAAATTAATTGTAACATTAAGCAGAGAGGACCAGTTCTGGGCAATGTATTGGGGGTGGGGTGGGAGGGAGGTAAGGGAATGTGTGTTGTGGGCTTTTCCTCCTAAGAATGTTTATAAATAAAAGCAGTGAACATAATTGTATGATTCCTCAGTAGCAACAGTTTATCATGATCATGATTATTGACAGAGCTGAGACATTTTAGCTTGTCAAAGGAAGGAAGAAAAGAAAGATTTTAATAGCAATAAAGCAAGATAATATTAAAATTTCCTTAACTTTTGCTAAAGATTTAAAATGTTACTATCTAGCAACTTAAATAAAAATGTCTACTGAGTTGTTCATGGATGTCCTGATAAACATGCCACACTCACACTAGGAAAGTTTGGGAAACCTGTCTTTCAAAAGAGGTCAATCTTTACTAACCAGTATCCATACAAACAAACAGATCAAAGGTTTCCCGGCATGTAGGAAAAAGGTGCAAAAAAATGGAAGCACGTGAACAGAGCAAGAATAAACAAAAACCAAGGAAACTATCAAACCAGTCAAACTGCAAAGCTCTGAATGCTCTGGCATTAACGGTTCCTTATTAAGCCTAATTAAAGTGACAGACACGTGGCATATGCTGTGCTTGTAGATCAGCATTGCTACAGCACTGCGCAGCTCTGGCACTCACATGTGTGACATCATGGTTTCCAGAAACCTGACAGAAGCCAGATTGACATCAGGGGTTGGTGATGGTGTAGGGGTAAAGGGGTGGGAGTTAGAAAAGAAGCCAACCTAAGTGAAACATTAGGCAAATCAGAGATTGGGTAGAAACTTGGCTAAGGGAAGCTTGACAGGATAGATAGAATACAACACCTCAACAGAAAATAAAAGTCAGAGGAGAGGAAGTCTTGAGTTTGAGCCAAGGCCACCTGCTTTCACATTCTTCCAAGCATTTAACAGTTTCTCAAGCTGACTTTCCTGAGTGGGTAAGCTTGTTAACTGTCATCATACAGAAAAGTTTGTCCCTAATGTCCAGTTATCTCTCTTTTTAGCTCTCTTAGCCATGGTAGACTTTCAGAATGCCCAGAAATATATGGCATCTTCTCTACAGCCAAAAGAAAGCCTTAGAAATATCTCCTAGCTATATAGAAGACAGCATATACACAGTATGTGTCTAATCATGTTTGAGTGGAAACCCCCTGTCTACCTCTTATATCAAAGCGAAAGGAAAGAAGGAGGCAGGCAACAAGCTCTGGAACTCTTCTTTAGGCTACTTCCAAGGTGGCCTTTGATCTTGTCCTTTTCCTTCTTCTTAGGATTGATCATTCCCTATCATTTTCCAAATAGGCAGATTCAAAAGTAGAAAAGATAATATCAAAGGGATCCTTTATTGATTACATAATGTTACACGTGTAAACTGGCAGAGCCAATAGGAGCTGAATATACAACTTTGCTAGATGTAATTATTTTCTTTTTTTGGAGTTGAGTTTCCTATCCTAGGTCAGAATATAAAATTTGGTATTAGATCTAACTTAGAAAATTAAAGTGTGTTTCAGTCTGAGGTAACCTGTATCCTTTTTGGAGGGATGGGGTGATTCAGCAGATAGCTGGCAATCCTCCAATATGGTAGTCCCAGCAAGGGACCCCAATGACACAGGAAAATAATTAAGCATGAAATTGGAGAGAGGAGGAATGGTGCCTGTAGAAGAAACTGACGTGGTTTTCAAAAGAGCCAAATAAGCCACCTTTTTTCAAGTAGTAAGACTATCTCACAGAAACAACAAAGAGCTTAACCAGAGAGTTAAATATGAAAGGACGCTGCAGAAGTTTATGGGGTAAAAAGCAAACAGCCAGGCCCAGGCAACTACCCTACTATAGCCTAAGTAAACTAAGTTAGGAAATCTTAATTAGGTAGAGTTAGAAATCCTCGGTAATAACCTCAACTCAATGAATATTTTATAGCTTTGGTTAAATAACTTAACCTCTCTGAACCTCAGCTGTTCTATCTATATAAGCAAAATTATATTTTATCAAATTTATAAGGTTTTTCTATGGTCAAATAAATTTTTTTAAATGTTTAAGTATTTTTAAACACTATACATAAGAAGAGGTAAGAGTGAGGGAAAGAAAGATCGTTTTGAAGACATTCATAACATAAAGAATTTGCCTGAAAATGTATAGTAATGAGCAACCTTAATTCAGGGGCATTGCTCTGTAATTTGTTTGTTTTTGTTTTGTTTTGTTCTGTTTTCCTGCATGAAAAGGAGGAAAAGAAGAGCTTCCTTAGGAATGAGAAAAAGGGAAAGATTAGGTTTAGTGTTTAGGCTGAGTGTTTGCTACTTTTTAAAAAAGCCTAGAATATGACTGAACAATCCAGTTCCCCACCCAATGAAGCACCAATGGAAGCATTCATACCTCAATCTGTTTGTGGTTGTAAGAGTGGCCACCACCATGTTCAAAGGTGTCCAAATTCCTGCCAAAACGGTCACTTAGGCCCTTTAGCCTTGGGCTAATTTGTGGGTGGGAGACATGACCCTTCTGTTTAGTAGCATATTCAGAAAAAAAAAAAAAAAGACAAAACATACTGTCAGAACTCATGAAACAGAACACATCTTTCTAAATTCAGGGTATTGACCACATCAAAGAATGGAAAGTAGAAGATTTCAAGACCCAGTGTCTCTCTTTTACAGAAATTTGGTTATAGGATCAAACAACGGTAATGTTTTCTTATTTCTGCCTCTGACTCAAGAAGATACTCTATAGTCCAGCTATAGGAAAAGAAGAAATAGATCATGTTTATAATAATGAAGATTGTTTATAGATTTTTACCAACTACAGTACAGCCAGTGTTAGTAGTATGGAAGGTGAAGGTTTGCAAGAAAGGTAGGGTTGCTGCTCCTCTTAGGCAAAATTTCTAGCTCTGCTAGGTAGCCCATAGTGGGCAACACCTTTATGACTTCCTGGATGAGGATTATGACAAAAACTTCTCAAAATATTGCAAAAATTCTTTATTTGCAGAACCAATTGCAAATATTCAAAATGATGTTTTTTTGTTTTTTTTTTGAGACAGAGTCTCACTGTGTTGCCCGGGGTAGAGTGTCGTGGCGTCAGCCTAGCTCACAGCAACCTCAAACTGCTGGGCTCAAGCAATCTTTCTGCCTCAGCCTCCCGAGTAGCTGGGACTATAGGCATGCGCCACCATGCCTGGCTAATTTTTTCTATATATTTTTAGTTGTCCGATTAATTTCTTTCTATTTTTTAGTAGAGATGGGGTCTCGCTCTTGCTCAGGCTGGTTTTGAACTCCTGAGCTCAAACAATCCGCCCACCTTGGCCTCCCAGAGTGCTAGGATTACAGGCGTGAGCCACTGCGCCCGGCCTCAAAATGATGTTTTTCATGGTATAATAGTTGTACACCTTTTATTTTCAAGTCGGAAATAAAAATACCTTCTCTAAATTATTTAAGAAAACTCAAAAATAATCACACTAAACTTTAAGAATAAAAACTATCTTCAATAAACTTCCCACTGTATTGAATTCAAGTTATTTACTACCATATATTTTCTAAATATTCAAATACCGAGGGTTTGATTGTTAGTGATCTCACCTTTTCGTTTTTATTAATTAAAATATATATTCTTACTTAAAGAATAAGTAAGAATATTCAACTTCCCATTCAAATGGCAGTACTAGAAGGGTATAGAGATCATCTAGTCCTATTCTACACTCCTCATTTTACTGTAAAGATAAGGTGAAAATGATTTTTCATTTGGTTTCCCAAACACTTTCTCCCCAAGTTTAGCTCAAAAGTAAAGAACAGTAATCCAGAACTTGATCAGACACCATGTCCAGACTTTTGACCCTGGAAAGGATGAGGATACACATATTCAGAAGCAATGTGTTTACATTTTACCAAGCAATTATTAAATAATTTGAGAATAACAACCCATATTCTATGAGCTGTAAGAAGGAAAATATCCAGCATCATTTTCTGTTTTGATGCTTATACATAAAAGCTAATCTGGACATAAATGGAGACATGGATGAAAAACTGATAAGGAAAAAGTTAACATATCCAAAAACAACTAAGCATAAAAATTGTAAAGCTATTAACTCATCTGATAGAGAATACATAGTACTAAGTCATAACGTGATTTTTTTCATTTAAAAATATTGAAACTGGCAGTTTTTCTTCTATTTGTTCTATGGTAAGCACATAAGGTGTTAATCCTTCCGGGCTACGCTTAAAATATTATTTAACATTCAGGCCATTATTTAGCATACAGCTGGTTAGCAGTTTTCCACTAAAGTACTGGCTCATATCCCACATTTTTTTCTTCTGGCACTTACCTGGAGCTGTAAAGGGCTGAGTCCAGAAGCAGCAGCAGCTGCCATTGTTGATGGAATGAACTGTACGGGGTAGTTATCACCTGTCAGAAAGAACAATGCATACAGGTTTAGACAATGCTCAGGGAATCGCAGCAGACAAGTACAAACATGGTCCTTGGATTGCCTAAGCTTTACAACATTGCTCTAAGCCCAAACATCTGCAGAAACAAAAGACTTAGTTGGGCACAGACTTGCAGTGCTGCCTTGGAACTTTTTGTTAACAGATAGCTGGTAGGCAAACTGGCAAAACATGAATGTGATGTTAAAAAAATTAAATGTGCAATTCAAGCATGTTCACTCCATTACAAATCTTGTAATACATTATTTTTTAAGAGTAAAAAAATATCTTAAAGCCAGGTTGACACTCAGTACACTGGGAAGGCATTGAGCCTTTTATATTAGAACAAAAAATAGTTTTGGCTTGATAGGCAAGGCAGAGCATTAGACTCCAAAAAAGGCTATGAGCTATTTGTTGACTGCCCATAACTTTAAACTTTATTTTATAAAATAATAATGAAAAATTTTTAAAAATACAACCTCTGCAGTATGATAGGACTGACAGAGCAGCTAATCTCATCTGCCAACATTCTGTGAAATGCCTCGTATCTCAGTGAGTGTGGAAACCATATTTTTCTGGATTAATCTCTGATACTGTACTGGTAGAACCTAGTACAGAATCGTGCACACTAGGCACTTATCAAACATTCTTTGATGATGATTTGATTAAATAACCACACATTTTACGTGACATATCTGTACTAAAAGCCTGATAGAAATTGAGCATGGATCAGCAGAAATCAATGTTACATCTTAACGTGTTTCTGACTCCAGACCACTCCTAAACAGGAAGACTGAAGTACCTTCTGTGACCTAAGAACACAGGCTGTGTTCATCGACCTAAAGAACCAAGAAAAAATGATAAGGAACATCTCATGATAGTGGTAACTGAAATAAAAATTAATATTTGTGGATAAATTACATAATATCAGTGATTTAATGGAGTATCACTTTGGCTTCAGCTACTTATTTAAAGTCAGTGTTATGTACTATCTCTAGGCTATATTTTAATAGGCTGTTCCTCCACACGTTTTTGACATTTGTAATAATCATGCTGTTTTACATGAACTTTTCCCTGCTGAAAGCTGAATGTAATAATGAATAGACAGTGTAAAAAAAAAATCACAATAATAAAGGTAGTCAACTGGAAAGCAATAAAGCTTTTCTTTTTTTTCTTTGCATGGACACTAATACCTGGAGCCTTCCTGGTGCCCCTGGTTCCTTGGAATTCATCCTGCTTGCCACATGAAGCGCTACTCAGCTGGCCCAATGTGAATGTTAAGTTGCTTTCACTTTTAACAAATTGTTAGCTTCTAATCTACACAGTCTCTTTGCATCATATCCATAATACCTCATCAGACCATTGAGCACAGTGTGTGCTTGTACACAGTCCAGTAACAATTGGCTTCTGATTGCATATGGAGCACTGCTACAATGCATTCACTAACACTATATTGTGATGGTCTCCTATGGAGTAATGTTCAAAATATCTGATCTTATTTTTCCCCTTCCATGAGGTTGATTTTGGTTTGCAGTACTATATGAGCTTTTTAGAAAAGATAACTAAGCCAAATTATTTTTTATAGTAAATGACTGTCACTTTATGCTTAAATAATTCTACTGATCTTCTTGATATTTAAACTAAATTATCTGAAGAAAGAATATCCTAATCTAAGTCAAATAGTATTTCTTTGGTCGATACCTTATCAAGTTAAAAAAAAAATCACAAAATGATGCTGAATTAATGGTGCTTCAAAAATAGGGGAAAAAAATCATCATTCCAACCATCACCATGGACTGCCTCCCAGAACATTTTAGAGCTATTATTTCTTTAAATATCATGCATTATTCATACTAACTCTAAACCACAATCCCCCTCCCCGTAAGTTTAATACCAGTTGCTTTATTTGTACTAAAACATTTTTCATGTCAAACATATTTTAAAAAATCAAACTCTAAAAGAATTCCCTGGGGCTCTCCTTTTTTCATAGCTGTCATGCTTCTATGCTATGAAATAGCTGATTTTTTTTTTTTTTTACAGTTTTTGGCTTGCCACTTAATTTATTACTATCTCTACCACACCCTGTAGTACTCTCCAGCTCACCTGCTGGCTACAAACAGCTTTCTTTCCATTGCTGACAAGCATATTTTGAAAACATTTTTAACCTTTCTGCTGGTTTGAATCTGTATATCTGAATATAATCTTCAGAAGGCTATTTCTCCAGAACATATTATTGTATCAAAACTAAAAGTAAAAATGAATACTTTAGAGCAACAGAGGATATCACAAGAATGATTAGAAGACAGAGAAAAAGGAAAAGGCAGGAGAAGATGAGGGAGAGGTAGAGGGGGGTCAAAGTAGAACAGAAAAGTCTAAGAGAGAGATTAAAGGGTACTGTGACATTTAGTTTTTTAATAACAAAGTTATGTGCTTCTCCCTACCCCCTTCTAATTTTGTCTGTGTAAGAGTCAATCAAGAAAAATTTCTCAGTGCCTGACTTGGCAAGGAATCAGTCAACATGTTGTAGCAATTTTTTTCAAATTTGTCTCTGGATTTGAAATGCTTGCGTGAGGACCCATTCTTTTTAAATTTGTACAATGGAAGATGAAGCCTGTTGGAACAGGTTGGCTTTAGGCACTACTGTAATTTGGCCCTTGCTACCTCTAATGTAAGAAGAAAACCTCCAAAAACCAATTTGGGAAATAATTCCCATTCTGTAAATCTATTTTTCTAGCCTTCCAGATATTCCAACTGACTGTTTTTATCTGAAGATTAGAGAACAAATACAAAACGGGATTTAAAACTTATGGAAAATTTGCCTGACATTAGTTTCACTTGTCAGAATAGGCAACATTCCTTTAGAATCAAAGCAGCTTCACAGCAAGAGTCCCTAAATGAGAGAAAGTAAATTCTTAAATTTTCAGAGAAACTGAAATGAAGCCAAAACTTAGTAGGACTTAATCACAGAAGAGGAGCTTGTACTAAGAACCTCCTGCCCATTAAAACCAGGCTACCTCTTACAAGAATACTTTTAATTTGTGTAATTCAGATATAAATTCCATTTTTTAAGAGTCAAAAATCCCAAGGGCAAAATTCTGTCCATTTATTTTCATTCTTCAGAAAAACAGGAACTAAGATAAGTTGTAGCATCTTGAGATATTAATATCTTCAGATATTAACATGTTAGAGAAATCGTTTAGAGAGGTTGTGAGGCAGGAGTAGAGAAGAAGAAGAAAAAAAAACAAAACATAGAACTAAGATAGAGGACTCAAGGATTCTTCAGTAATTGCCCCAAAGTGGGGATTCAATCTCATACCTCATTTCCCACCCTTCAAAACAGAAGAAAAATACATTATACATCCCTAACTATCTCACAAATTACTATGTGATGGTATCATAGTATGATAATTTGCCAAACAACCTATAGACCCCACCTTTATGAGCAATAGCCATTCTTGCTACAATATGGAAATATTTGAATCACAACCACTAATGCAAACTTGGACATACCATTTTCATGAGTATTGCTTACATGTATGTATACAGCACAACAAAATATTGCAAGGCTCCTATATTGTGAGGGTATGCCATAAATATGAATTTATCTTCATGTGACATCAGACTGCAGCAAACATTAGCAGGTAATAGATAATACATTTACAACCCTAAAAATAAAACAAAAGCTTTAATTTGTTCTGAGGACAAATGGACAAAAAATTAGCAAGAATCACAATATATATTGCAGAGATCATCATGTTCTTATTTCTCCTGCTAAATTTCTCATTCTCTATTAATCAAAGAATAGATCAATGATGAAAAGATTTTTTCCAGGATTTTTTCTGAGATTATCTATATTGTTTTGCATACCATTAAGGAATCTAAGAATCAAGGATCAATCTTAATTTCTTTACTTATTTAACAGCTATATCCAGACCCTTGACCAATCACTTGAAAATCTATGGAATTTTTCACAATGGCAGTTGAATAAGTGAGTGTGAATGAACCAATGTAAATCCATCCCCATTACAAGAAATCAACTCAAAAAACCATCAAAGTTCATGCCTTCACGATGGCTCACCAATGATATAGCCTCCATATATGAAGGAGAACACAGTTAAAATAATTCTGGACCTTTATAAAACAAGGTTAGTTTACACAGATGAACACATTTTCTTCTTAGACCTCAACATTCTCATTTAAAAATGAGGGTACTAGGCTGGGCATGGTGGCTCACGCCTGTAATCCTAGCACTCTGGGAGGCCAAAGCAGAAGGATCACTAGAGATCAGGAGTTTGAGACCAGCCTGAGCAAGAGCCAGACCCTGTCTCTACTAAAAATAGAAAGAAATTAGCCAGACAACTGAAAATATAAGAAAAAATTAGCCAGGCATGGTGGCGCATGCTTGTAGTCCCAGCTACTCAGGAGGCTGAGGCAAAAGGATTGCTTGAGCCGATGAGTTTGAGGTTGCTGTGAGCTAGGCTGATGCCACAGCACTCTACCCCAGGCAACAGAGTGAAACTCTGTGTCAAAATAAAATAAAATAAAAATGAGGGTACTAATTTGAAGAACTTCAGAATCCAAATAGATACATTTAATTAATAAAGTATTCCAATAGTGGTTACACACCTATGCTTTGAAATATTCTGGAAGAGATGAAAATGGATGGTGTCACAAGATGTCATTTGGATAACCCCATACATATAAATTATATTTTATTCACAACAAAAAAAACAGATTTTCTTAAGATCACACACACTTAGATCATGTCCCCAGGAGTATAAAATACCAAATAAGAAAACTTCAGTCTGAATTCTCTCTCCACTATTTTTAGACGTGAAATTCTTGGAAAAGTTAATTAACCTTTTTGAATATTAGATTTTTATTTCCTTTCAATGAACTAAGAGATAATACCACTTACTATCACTTTTACACAAAAGTTGTTATGAAACTTAGATGAGGTTACACACACACACATGGGGGAAG